TATCACCATCATCACCATCTCATTATCATCACCATTCACACAATCATTTCAACCAATCTTTTCATCATCATCATCAACATATCACCATAACCACAGAATCATCACCATTATCATCACCATATTATCATCATCATCACCACCATCACGCAATCATTTCAACCAATCTTTTCATTATCATCATCATTAATATCACCAGGACCCCAGAATCATCATCATCACCATCATATCACCATCATCATCAACATACAATCATTACAACCATTCTTTTCATCATCATCCTCATCATCATCATCATTGCTGGCTTAGATACTCGGAATAAATAAATAATAAATAATTTATATAAATAAAATGACATAAACAAATGGGCAGATAGTACGGTTAGTGTTGAAATATAACGCCAGTATATAGATACTATTAAATAAACAAGTAGAAAAACCACAACTATGATAATTATAATTATATTAATAATTATTATTATTACGTATAATACATATCATAATTATTATTGACAGGATAAAAACGAGTATATCATATGATATTATATCGATAATTAATATTATTAGCAATAATTAAAGTCTAAACTATAAAAAAATACATCTATAATTAGTCAAAATCTGAAATGTGATTACAGGATGATTATTAATTTTCATTACGAGAACCCGTATCTACAATCTACACATAAAAAAATGACGACATCATAAAGGTAGATGAAAAAAAAAGATAAATATATATAAAGACAACACTAAAATGAAAAAAAATATCGGGTTTTATTCATATAACACACATACACACACATTACACAGCACACAGCACACACACACACACACACACACACACACACACACACACACACACACAGCATTAAAAATATATAAAAAGTAGCTTTATTCATATAACACACACACGCACGCATAGAAAGGGAGGAAAAGAGAAACAAAAACACAGAGATACACACACACATACATATAATACCGAATACAACATGTTGACCAGTATTATGTATGAAGCTACATAAAATGATAAAAAACATTCGCAGATTAATCTAAAAAAATATTAGATTTTTTTTACCATAACAATAATAATTATAACGTAATATAATTATTATAATAATAAATTAATTAATTATAGTAATATAATAATATTAATTATAATTTTGTGTGGATGTTGTCAACTAACATAAAGAATCGCTGAAGATACAATCCAAGAAATGGCTACTGTTATAAAAATACAGATATAACTCAGATATGTCTAATGTACGAACGTGTATAAATGCATAATTGACCCTAAACAAATGAACCTATTAACAAACAAACAAACAAACAAACAGACAGACAGCAAAACAAACAAACAGGCAGACAGACAAAAAGATAGAGACAGATAGAAAGAGACAAATAGACAGGGACAGATAGACAGAGACAAATAGACAGACAAACAATCCAACAAACAATTTATTCACACAGAGCAAATGTATTAAAAATAAGGACGATATTCAGTAGATATATATATATATATATATATATATATATATATATATATATATAAACTTTGAATACTAATGATTTTTCAACAATGAAATCTCGTTCTCTCAGGGACTACAAACGAATAAAATGAAGCAAAAATGTTACAAAAATTTTCAAACTTTAAATTTCAACAACTAAATTTCGCTTTACTTTTAATATTATTTTATTTTTAAACTAATAAATAACAATTAAATAAATAAATAGGTGTTGAATATATATATATATATATATATATATATATATATGTATATATATATGTACAAAGTATATATGTATATATATATGTGACTGGGTATGACATAAAACTGCATCCACGCTGAGCGAAAGGCTAGGCTCACCGCTTATAACTGGTGGTTGTCGTCAGGATGGGTGTCCGGATGTAAAAACTTTTCCCAAAATTATTCCTATGCCATCACCAAAAATTATTATTATTATTTTAACAATATCAATAAACTAAATAAATAAATAAAATAAACAAATTATTCCTATGCCATCACCAAAAATTATTATTATTATTTCAACAATATCAATAAACTAAATGAATGTCAAATATAATAAAATTGATAATATTATTATTACTTTCATGGTTTTCACAATGTTTATCATTGCCATCATCACCATCATCTTCATCATCATCATCGTCGTCGTCGTCAGCTTAATCAATCATCATTCATTTTATAGAAAAAAAGAACACATGTGTTTTTGCTCCTAAACAAAATCTAAACTACACACACACACATACATCCGATTGCAAACACACAATCAATAATCAATACATAAATAATAAAAAAAATGGTACAAATAGGTTCTTCATAATAACAAAGATTGTAGATAAGTAATAAATAAATAAATAAGCTGTAACCATTTTAAGAAATTTAATTACATATTTCAGTTGGATGAATGGAAAAATTCGAAATAACCGACAAATGAATCAGAGAAAGATAGCAACGGAAAAACAAAGGAAAAGAGAGAGAGAAAGAGAGAGAGAGAGAGAGTGAGAGAGAGAGAGAAATTAATTAAACAAATCTTATTGACAAAGCAAATTACAAAATGAAACAACTAATAGAAGACAAAAAAGAGAATAGCCGCCTAACAAATACATTAAAATAACTAAAGTGTGAATATATAAATATCATAAGTATGTAACAAAGAAACCATGGAGAACAAACTTCGTACGTAAATAGCTTGATACTATAGAAATAAATAGCTTGATCCATAATAAAAAATTTCACTCTAGACATTTTAAACTTTAGAAAACCCTCTCATACAACACATCTCACGCCAAAAACAAAAAAACTAAGTAGGTGGATGAACTTAATATGAGTAGAAAAAAACATAAAAAAAAGACACTTCAAAACTTAGAATTAAAATTACTACTGATTTCAGTAATAGCATTACAATTACTACTAAAATTAGTAAACCGCGAAAAATTTCTTATAAAGCATAAAAACGATTATACGAAACTACTTAGACTTTATTGGTTCAGGATTTTTACAGGAAAAAAATAGCCATAAAAATAATTATACATATATACACATATATCTCTATATAATATATATATAAACATTTTTTTTTGTAATTAGTACTGTACAAATTGACTTGTAATAATAATAATAAAGATATATATATATATAATACATACACATACATATTTATACATATGCAATATACATACATATGGAGAACACACTTTTACGAACAAATTATTTTTGAAATAATCAACAAAAAAATGCACTACATAGAGTTCACAAAACTATAAAAATACGACTAGCGCAGCCTATCGTGACTTTATATGGGAATCTTTTTTAATATTTGTGCGCGTTTTTTCAAACAAAACATATATCTATCTATCTATCTGGCTATCTATCTATCTATCTGGCTATCTATCTATCTATCTATCTATCTATCTATCTATCTATCTATCTATCTATCTATCTATCTGGCTATCTATCTATCTATCTATCTATCTATCTATCTATCTATCTATCTATCTATCCATCCATCCATCCATCCATCCATCCATCCATCCATCCATCCATCCATCCATCCATCCAGCCATCTATCCATTTATCTATCTATATATTAGTGTATATTATTACCATAAATAAATAATTTAATTAAGTAACTTAATTTGAAAATAATTAAGAGCCTTTATTAATGGAAATTAAAAAAGTAAAACCAACAAAGAATAAATAAATAAAAGGCAGAACAAAAAGAGGTACTGACTAAGTGGTACCCTAGATAATATTATTTATTTATTAATCATCATTGAGCATTCAACATTAGTAGAAAAATATTGAATTTTTCATTGTGAACCAAAAAAAACAATAAATAAGATAAATTTTTATAGAAAAACAACAACAACAACAACAACAACAACAACAATAATAACAATAATAATAGTTAATAATAGTAGTGTCAATTATTTTATTGTTAAAAATTATTAAATAAATTAGTCCTAATTGGAAATAATGTTAACTTAGTTGTTCAGAGAAAAGGACAGAGATCTTATTAGATGTGTAAACCGTACACACACCTAAACACAAACACACACCCACACACACACATAAACACACACATTCTTTCACAAAAACATATAAGCAGATACAGACACACACATAAAAATTCCTATTAGACCACTAAAAAAACAATTATAATATTGTTTATAATTTAGAATAGGTAATATTTATTTGTTTTATTAATACAATACCTATAAAAATTAATAAATAAGAGATAAACAAACAGAAAAAAAAACAAAAAAAAACATCACCAAAAAAAAGAATTTCATAAATTAATAAAAAATTAAAAAAAGTTTTTAAATAATTAGTAGTACAAAAGGAAGAAGTCTGAAATGAGCAGTAATTTTAAAAAAATTATTATGTGCGTGCGTGCGTGCGTGACACGCAGAATACGCACAATTCCATACAAACAACATGTGTTATCAGTCATTATCATTATTATCATTATCATCAACAACGTAGCAATTACAATAATAATAATTAATTTTATTATTAAACTTTATTAGTGATTGATGTATGTTTCAGCGGTTTTGCCAATGAACGCCGCTTAAATCTTAAAGAATATTTTATGTTGTTATGTGTGTACGTGTATGTACCATTGTGCGTGTGTGTGTGTGTAATGATGTATGTGTGTTTGTATGTTTCTCTATAATCTCCTAAGTGATATGATATGGCGAAAAAGTATTTATTTGTTTATAATATTTATAAATAATGCTTTAACGTAAATTCAAATTCTATAAATATGTGTCTGTTTGTATATATGTAAGTTTGTGTGTGTGTGTGATGTCATTTTCATGAAATTTCACAAATAGATTACATCTGATTATAATATTAATATTATTTATTCAGTAGTTGTGTGTGGAAACATAATGGAGGGGTTGTTATTTGAGATTTTGTATGCAGATGATTTAGTCTTGATGGCTGATAGCATGGAAGAATTGCAGTTAAAATTTGACAGATGGAAAAGTGTTATTGAAAAGAAAGGATTAAAAGTTAATATTGGTAAGACGAAGGTAATGGTGAGTGGGGAAGGTGGGGAGCGAGTGATAAATAAAATAGACCCCTGTGGGGTATGTGACAGGAGAGTGAAGGCTAACTCGGTATTGTGTATAGGATGTCAGAAATGGGTGCATAAGAGATGTAGTGGTGTGAGGGGGGCACTGAAAAAGGTGGAAGGCACGTTCAAATGTAAGAAATGTGTTCATGGTGTGATTAATAGGACGGACGCAAAGACGGGGTTGAGTGGTGGTATTGAAAGAGTGGAAAGCTTTGTTTACTTAGGGGATAAGCTGAATGCGGATGGAGGATTTTTGAGCGCAGTTACGGCTAGAGTTCGTGTGGGATGGATGAAATTTAGGGAACTGGGTGGGGTATTGTGTGGAAAGAAATGGTCAGTGAAGATGAAAGGGAGGGTATATAAAGCATGTGTGGAAGCAGCGATGGTATATGGTGGTGAAACTTGGGTGCTGAAGAGAGAGGAGGAAAGTGTACTGCAGAGGGCTGAAAGAGCTATGGTGAGGATGATGTGTGGGGTTAAAGTGAAAAATAGGAGGAGTAGTACAGAGCTGATGTCAATGATGGGACTGAATGAGGACATTGTGACATTGATAAGGATATCGAGATTGCGGTGGTATGGACATGTGTTGAGAAGGGATGAAAGGGTCGGGATTAGGCGAGCGTTGGAATTCGAGGTTGAAGGAGTGGTAGGAAGGGGTCGTCCGCGATTGGGATGGAGAGAGCAGGTGGAGAAAGACAGGGTGAAAGCGGGGTTGCGTGATACTGAGGCGAGTGAAAGATGTGGATGGCGTCGAGGGGTATTTCGGTTTCATCATAGGTAACCAAACGGCAACCCCCGATCTCGGGGAAAATGCCGTCTAAACGTGTGTTGTTGTTGTTGATTATTTATTCAGTAGCTGGTTGAATGGATGAGAAAATGTACTTTAAAATAGAGGAGATAAGAAAAGATGAATGAAGGAGTGAATGAAATGAATGAATGAAAAGATGAATTGGTAAACAGATGAGTGAATGAATGAACAAATGACTGACTGAATCAAAAACGAATAAATAAACGACTTAATAGACAGACGACTGACTATTTCACTATTTACAAATTACATCGACAAATGCATCATCGTAGCTAATCAATCATAATTTCAGATCATCATTACAATTGGTTGACAGTAAAAACATTGACAATAACAATAATAACAACAAAAATAATAATGATAATAACAACAATAGTAGCATTAATAGTAATAACAATAACAACAACAGCAACAACAAAAAAAATAATAATAATAATAAGATTATAACGCCAACCAGAGTACCATGCTATGATTAATTAACCTCAATATTTACTTCAATAATTAATCATCACCACCGTCATAATCATTATTATCATCCTCTTCCTCCTCCACCTCCTCCTCATCATCATCATCATCCTTGTCTCCACTTATTTGATTATTCATTCACCATAACCATCATTTTAATATTATCACTAACATTATCATCATCGTAATGATCAACTTGATTCAAACCATCGCAACAAAATCATCAGCGCCATCATATATAACCTTATTTACAGAAAAACAACAACAGCAAAAGAAGACAACAGTGTAACTGCAACAACAACCGCAACGTATTACATCGTAACAGCTCCATTGCAAACGTCATTGCGTTTAGCAGCGTTACTAGCAGCAGCAGTAGTGGTGGTGGCTGTAGTAGCTGCAGCAGCAGCAGCAGTAACTACGGCTTCGTTTGACTTTTTCAGATGCCTCAAATTAGCCTTGTAGCTTTCGGGATTGCGATCAGGAATGACATCACCTTGAACCATCGTCATCTTCTTCCTCTTCATCTTCGCTGCCTTCGCTCTGTTGTTTTTATCGGTTTTGTAGCTGTCATCACCACTTTTTATGCGATCGTCGTCGTCGTCGTCGCCACCGTAGTTTGGCGGTTGTTGTTGCGTCTTGTTGCTGCTGAATAGCTTCCACTCTTCAACTTTGTCGATGTTGAGCTGCTGTCTTGATTGCTTGGCACTGTCTATTTCTTTGCGCTGGTTGGTTGGTAGGTTGGTAGATTGATTGGTTGGTGGATTGGTTGGTTGGTTGGTAGATTGGTTGGTTGGTGGATTGGTGGGTGTCTGCTGATGTTGACTTCGTAATGTTTTGATCGTTTATGATTTAAAGTTATGGCTAACAATTTTTGCAGTCGTATTAGTGTCATTGTCACGCTGATTCCCCTCATTGACAATACAATGAATACACACAATACAAATTGAACAAGCAATTAATTAGATACTGAGCCAATTAGATAATAAGATAATTAGATATTGAGACAGTTAGATAATGGGATAATTAGATAATGAAAAAAATAGATAATAAGATAATTAGATAACGAGAAAATTAAACAATAAACAAATTAATAAACGAACCTTTGTATGCCTGGCCAGAACAGCACAGAGATAAATGCAGAGTACGCATGATAACATCTGAATGATGAAGGAAGAATGGTGATCATGATGATGTTAATGATGACAAGATGACGATGAAGATGATGATGAAGATGGTGGAGATGGTGATGATGTTAACAATGGAAAGATGGCGAACATATTTAAGACAACGCAGATGATGACGACAATGAAGATGAAGATAATGATGATGATAAACGGTATGTAAAGATACTATAAGCATTTATGAATATTTGATTCAATTAGGTGATCACATTAACTGGAATAAAATGATAACATAATCAAAAAACATCTGACTCATCAATCAACCAACTGACCAACCAATCGAAAAATCATTTAATTAACCAACTAATCAATCAATCAATCAATCAATCAATCAATCAATCAATCAATCAATCAATCAACTGGGCAACCTGAAACACAAGCCAGTAAAGCACATGCAACAGTTGAGTCTGCCTGAATATCTGGATGCCGTTCTTAACACAGAGGATGAACTCGGCGAATGTTATAGCGCTTCATTTGTTGGTGCATTCATTTATTTTCAATTTCACCGAATTGATATTATTTATGTTAAAAAATGGCAAATATTAGAATTCTTATATACCTATGAAAGTTCATTAAGTTAAGTTTTGTGAAAAATGTACATAAAGATTGATTTATTTATCTTTGATTAATTGATCCAATTATTAAAACAATAAATATTTTCTTGAATGATTAAATACGAACAAACGAACGAACAAACGAACGAACGAATGAATGATTGAACGAATGAACGAATGATTGAATGAATGAACGAATGATTGAATCAATGAATGGATAAACAAACGAATGATGCTTACCAAAAGACATAGCACTGAGTCCCTACACGTTTGCATTGTGTATCAGTAACATAGGTGTAATATTGCCTGTATGGATGTGTGCGCGTGTGTGAATTTATATATGTATGCATGTGTGTGTGTGTGTGTGTGTGTGTGAGAGAGAGATAATTTATATATTAAATGTTTGGACCTATGTTATGTCCTGGTTATGACATTAAACTGACCCTCACTGCCTTGTGAGTGATGTTGGATCATCAAAGGCTAGGCCCACCGCTTATAACTGTGGTTGCGTAAGGAAGGGCGTCCTGCGTAAAAACTAGCCAAAAAATAATACTTATGATGACGGAAATAACAATGGCCCTCAGTATCCGGCAAAAGAGGGTGCGAAGAATCTTCGGAGACGCAGTCCACGAGGTTGTGGTGCAAGGCCCTGTGGATGGTCTGGCTATTGGCACCCCACTCTATAGTGTGGCGGTGCAAGGCACTATAGATGGAAGGACTACTTGTAGACCAAGGGGTTGGAGGTTTGGTACCTGGAATGTAGGCACGTTGACAGGAAGAAGTTTGGAAGTGGTGGAGGAGCTGCAGAGGAGAATGGTTGACGTGGCTGCATTACAGGAGATCAGATGGAAGGGTGAGGGTACAAGGTTTGTGGGGACTAAAGGTGGAAGATATAAGTTGTGGTGGAAGGGGGATGATGGTACGGGAGGAGTTGATGTGATGGTAAGAGAAGAGTTGGTGGAGAAGGTGTTGGAAGTGAGGCGGAAAAGCAATGGGGTAATTGTGGTGGTGATGGTGTTTGGAAAAGTAATAGTGAGGGTGATATCAGGATATGCTCCGCAAAGTAGGAAGGAAGAGGAGAAGGATAGGTTTTATGATGATGTTTCTGACGAGATTGGGCAAGCGGGGTTGGATGAGTTTGTGGTGTTGTTGGGTGATTTGAATGGTCATGTGGGGGCAGATGCAGACGGATATGAAGGTGTACATGGGGGATGGGGATATAGTATACAGAATGAGGAAGGGCGTAGAGTGTTGGAGTTGGTGGATGCACATAGCATGGTGGTGGGGAATACCTGGTTTACAAGGGAACCAGCGCGATTGATTACTTATAGGTCAGGGGAACATAGATCGATGATAGACTATATATTGGTAAGGGCCAAACATAGGAAGTATGTGAAGAATGTGAAGGCGATACCTGGTATGCTGCAGCATAGTATGGTTGTGATGGATGTGACATCAAAAGAAATGGGGAGGAGGAAGAAGGATAAGTTTGTGGCAAAGAGAAAGACATGGAAGTTGCAGGATGCAGAGGTGAGGAAGGCATTTGAAGTGAAGGTGGCTGAAAATTGGGAGAGTGGTAAGGATGGAGATGTTTGGGAGAGATACAGGGACTGTGTGTTGGCTACGGCAGATAAAGTATGTGGATGGACGAAAGAAAAGTGTAGGCATGGTGAGACGTGGTGGTGGGATGAAGATATAAGAAAGGTTTTGGAAGTCAAGAAGGAGAGGTTTAGGGTATGGAGAAGGGACATGACGGAGGAAGCGGAGTCTGAGTAAAGGAAGGCTAAGAAGGTTGCAAAACAGGCAGTGGCAACTGCAATGACGAAAGCATCAGATAGGTTAATGAAGGAAATGGAATTTGATGTGAGTTCGAGAAAAATGTTCAAAGTAGCAAAGCAGTCAATGAGGTATAGGAAAGATGTTATAGGAAATGGATGTGTTTGGGATGGATCTGGCAAGTTGTGCATAGATGAGGAGGAAAAAGCTCAGGTGTGGAAAGCTCATATGGAAAGGTTGATGAATGAAGAGAATGAGTGGGATGGAGATGTGGAATCCGCGGTCACACACGGACCTATAGAGAAGGTGACGATGGAGGAAGTAGAGAAAGCAGTTAGAAAAATGAAACTAGGTAAGGCGACAGGGGTTTCGGAAGTGGCGGCAGAACATATTAAAGCGAGTGGGGTGATAGGAATTGAAGTTATGATGAGAATTGCTAACAGTATGTTTGATGATGAAGGTATATCTGAGGAGTGTGTTGGTGCCTTTGTAAAGGCAAAGAAGATGTGAGAGATTGTGGGTCATATAGGGGTGTGAAATTGCTAGAGCACGGAATGAAGGTAGTGGAGAGAGTGCTTGAGAGGAGGTTGAGAAATATGGTGACAGTTAATGAAATGCAGTGTGGGTTTATGCCTGGTAGTGGAACGGTGGATGCGTTGTTCATGGTGAGAATGTTGCAGGAGAATTATAGAAAGAAGAAACGAAGATTGTACATGTGTTTTGTGGATCTAGAAAAGGCTTTTGATCGAGTACCGAGGAAGGTCATTGAATGGGTGTTGAGGAAGAAAGGAGTGAATGAGAGACTTGTTAAAGCTGTGATGCAGCTGTATGAAGGGGCAAAGACAAAGGTGAGGGTTGGAAGGGGGATGTCGGACGCTTTTAGTGTTAAGGTAGAAGTGCATCAAGGATCAGTGTTATCACCATTTCTGTTTGCAATTGTGATGGATGTTGTGTGTGGAAACATAATGGAGGGGTTGTTATTTGAGATTTTGTATGCAGATGATTTAGTCTTGATGGCTGATAGCATGGAAGAATTGCAGTTAAAATTTGACAGATGGAAAAGTGTTATTGAAAAGAAAGGATTAAAAGTTAATATTGGTAAGACGAAGGTAATGGTGAGTGGGGAAGGTGGGGAGCGAGTGATAAGTAAAATAGACCCCTGTGGGGTATGGGATAGGAGAGTGAAGGCTAACTCGGTATTGTGTATAGGATGTCAGAAATGGGTGCATAAGAGATGTCGTGGTGTGAGGGGGGGCACTGAAAAAAGTGGAAGGCACGTTCAAATGTAAGAAATGTGTTCATGGTGTGATTAATAGGACGGACGCAAGGACGGGGTTGAGTGGTGGTATTGAAAGAGTGGAAAGCTTTGTTTACTTAGGGGATAAGCTGAACGCGAATGGAGGATGTTTGAGCGCAGAGTTCGAGTAGGATGGATGAAATTTAGGGAACTGGGTGGGATATTGTGTGGAAAGAAATGGTCAGTGAAGATGAAAGGGAGGGTATATAAAGCATGTGTGGAAGCAGCGATGGTATAAGGTGGTGAAACTTGGGTGATGAGGAGAGAGGAGGAAAGTGTACTGCAGAGGGCTGAAAGAGCTATGGTGAGGATGATGTGTGGGGTTAAAGTGAAGGATAGGAGGTGTAGTACAGAGCTGATGTCAATGATTGGACTGAATGAGGACATTGTGACATTGATAAGGATATCGAGATTGCGGTGGTATGGACATGTGTTGAGAAGGGATGAAAGGGTCGGGATTAGGCGAGCGTTGGAGTTCGAGGTTGAAGGAGTGGTAGGAAGGGGTCGTCCGCGATTGGGATGAAGAGAGCAGGTGGAGAAGGACAGGGTGAAAGCGGGGTTGCGTGATACTGAGGCGAGTGACAGATGTGGATGGCGTCGAGGGGTATTTCGGTTTCATCATAGGTAGCCAAACGGCAACCCCCGATCTCGGGGAAAATGTCGTCTAAACGTGTGTTGTTGTTGTTGTTTGGACCTATGTATGGAGTCGTGCATCAATATTAGATTATTTTTTATGTATTAAATATTAAATTAGATTGGGTGATATGTGTTCATGTAGTGCTAACCAGCTAAAAATGAACCAAGAACCAACCAATCAATCAACACACCAACCGACCAACCAACCAACCAACCAACCGACCGACCGACCAACCGACCAACCAACCAACCGACCAACCAACCAATCAGCCAACCAATCAGCCAGCCAGCCAGCCGACCAACCAACCAACCAACCAATCAGCCAGCCAACCTTATAGCAGGAGCAGATATGACTCCAATGAGGATGAGTCTACCATAGCAGAGGGGATGGTCAGGCCCTATGATGAAGATATGCTTCAGGAAGAATGAATTCAACTCTACCAGCTAAATTTTTTAAAATAAAATAATGAAATAATCTTTTAAATTTTATTTTCAAAACAATGGAATAAATTACAATAATTATTACTCATCGTTACTGCATCATCATCATCATCCATCATAATTATTATCATCATTGTCAGCTTCATTCATCATCATCATCTGATATAAAACACGTTTAACACAACATCGCATACAAATACTTATACACATATGTAAGCACACACACACACGCACATATTCAATTCAATAATGAGTTTATTCAGCAAAAAAGCTAGGAGACCCGAAGATATATATATATATATAATATATATATAATATGATATATAATATATATATATTTATATTTATATACATTAATATATACAATTGAATGTCTTTAAATGGGCTTAGAGGCAAAAGCAAACATGAAAACAAGAGTGAAACAATATTTGCTAAAATAAAAAAAGTGCACACTGTGTGAGTGTGTGTATGTCTGAGTACATATGAGTGTATGTAAAAGTGTGCATGTATGTGTGTACGTGACGTCCGTGCGTATGTGTATGTGTATATAGACATACAATAAATTGTGTATTTGGAGACATTTTTGTGCAACACGAACCTGCCACATGATGACTAGCAGTGAGACTGCAACGATTCTCATGTATGTGGAGCTTGGGTCCAACCATCTCACATGGGTCCAACTATCAATCATTCAATCAATCAATCAACTAACCAATCAATCAATCAATCAAAAAATTAATCAATCAATCAATCGATTGGTGATCAATCAGTTGGTTAAACGGCTGGGGTTTGTCAGTCAGTCAATCAATCAACCAATTAACCTGTCAACCAACTTACCAACCAACCAAATAGCCAACCAACCAATCAACCAACCAACCAACCAACCATCCAACCAATCATTAACCTAGCTGGAGTGAATTGCAAAAGCGCCCTTCTTATTTTTCCAGTTGTAGAATCTATATCCCTGAATGGATGAATTAAAAAAAAATTATTTTTCGAACTTCATCATCGTATCAACACCGTCATCGTCGTCTTTATCACATCACATCATAAAATAAATAAACATAACCACCAGGTTAATCTCGTTACATAAATAAACCATAGTCACCACCATCTAATATACTATACCAAAGCTGAATATTATCATATCTTAACAATCAATCTAATCATATTATAATCACAATCTAATCACATATTAATTCATTGAGTCACTTACAAGCAACTCATTCACTCATTCATTCATCCATTCATTCACTCTTTCGACCACTCATCCATTCATCCACTTTTTCAATCCCTCAATAACTCATTCACTCACCTGATACTCTCCCAATGGTAGTTCATCATTTCGAGTTTGCGCGCCAGAACCATACCAAACCAGATGCCCAGACCGTTGCAGACCAGTACATCCAGGACAATGGCGTCCCACCAACACTCGGCAAAGTTTGGCAGGAGATGTGCAAACGCTATCTGTGTGCGTGTGTGTGTTTGTGTGTGTGTGCGTGCGTGATGCTAGGACGTGGACAGCATGTTTAAACACGCTCAAACAAATACATATATTTTTACAATCTTCACACACAAGCACAAACAAACAAAAACAAACAGACAGACAAACAAACAAAAATACACAAACAAACACAAACGGACGAACCTCAGAAACTTCCCACAAAACGCTGATAGTCCAACAGATACCGTAATGACGGACGAGCAGGGCCTTCATGGCCCAACCCCAAAAATGCCCAACAGCAAAAATATCCAGGTGGGACCAAATCCTGGCCACCGTTATCTGGGAGCAGTTCACTGCATATTCCTGTGTGTTTTTAAATGGGTGAGGGAAAATGTGTGGATATAAATGTGGTGATGATGATGGGGATAATGAAAATGATGGAAAATGAAAGTGATGATGATGGAAAAGATGATAGAGATATAATTGTGATGATGATGTGAAAATGATGACGAAGATATAACAGTGATGATGATAAAAACAACAATGATGAAAACGATGATGATGATAAGTATGTGGGTGGAGCTGATGAGTGAGAATGATGGTGGCCCGGTGATAACAATGTTGACGCAGATAACAATGATTACAAAAATAATGGTTTAAAAAATGTGCAATTATGAATGAAATAAAGATGATAAAGATGACGATGATGGTTGGTGATCTCGAAACGTAGCTGATGATAAGATGAAAATTATGACAGATGAAAACGAAAATAAAAATAATATTTATCTAAATGATAGTATAGATGAAAATATGAATAATAATTTTTAAAATGATAGTAAATAAAACTCTATCAATATAAACTGCAATAGCGAGTAAGGTGATATTTAAATGAAATAGTAAACAGACTCAAGAACCAATCAAAATCAATTTACCTTTTCCTCTGGCTTCCATGTCTTTAAATCAGGGTACAACCAGAAGATAATATGCCTGATGTCGTCATATTCCTGGTAGATCAAGAACACCAAGCAGAGGAAATACACCAAACTTACACCTGGATCCCCCAAAAAAATCAATAAAAAGCACATCCTACAATTCAAACGTCATTTTATGAAAATATCATGCCTCTACCTATATTGAAGCAAGGAATGAAAACAACATCTGAGGTTCCTAGAGTTTGTTTTCAAAACCCGATTAGTAGAAGTTTTAGCCTATCGCCAATACAAAGTTATTCT